TAGCAGACCCTGACTTTTTAAAACTGTATTTCTATACATCAAATCAATGTTCTCACTCCAGCTGGCATAAGATAAAGTCTCTAGGTCTGACACCGTCTGAGACTGTAAGACAACTTGTGAACAGTCAAAGTAGCAAAGGCACTGCCAAAATCAACCTGCTATAACAATGGGTAATTCCAATCATATAAACAACACAAAATGAGCTATTTAAATTATTTGTGCTTTAAAATCAATTGAAGCTGGAACTACCTTAGCAGTTTTGTTTCTCGAGTCAAATATTAAAAATCATTCCAGGCTTGGAAATAATTTTATGTAGAGGCTATAACAGAGTAATATTTAGTCTAGTGTAATATTTTAATTAATAATATTAAATAAAATATTATATGCATTTGGTGTTTACATTTGAAATAAATGTTTAAAAAGACGTAGATTAAACCTAATGCAGTAGATGTGAAATATGACAGGGTGTGCTTTTCTGCCTTTATTGGTGACTCAGTTCTTCAGCTCCCTGAAACACAGTAAAATTAATGAAGCAGTAACTTCTGTTGGTGCTGCCCGGCTCCTGTGTGCACCCAGACCTGTTTCCTGCAGGCAGCAGGTTCTGCTGCTGGCTCTCCGTGGCTGCCTCGCCTTCACCCTGAGAAAGGCAGAGCCAAGTGACACAGGTGCTTTAACTTTTTGCCTTTTAATACTGTGAGTGGAAGTGTTGATCCTAAATAAAGTCATTACAATTGTATTTGTCACAGGAATTAGAAGAGGATGACATACATGAATAATGCAGCGGTGGAGGGAAAATGATAGTGAATTAAGGGTAGATAAAGAACTGTTGAACTGTGTCATGCACTTAATGAAAACAGTTTAATGACATCCATTTTCCTTCCTTACAGCTAGGGAAAACACCTTAAATTGAAGAGAAAAATATAGTAATAAAGCACACAATGGCAAATTGTTAGGAGGATTTTAAGATTTTTAAATTTGGATTTTTATGGACTCTAAGTGTTTGTAACATGAAGCCAGAATATGGTATGCATATCTGATACGTATCCAAACAGGGAAAATAAAAACAAAAAAGCTTGTAAGAAAATACACATTCTGGCCATTTTTTAAAATTTTATACAAGCATTGCTTCTCTGGAAAACGGTTAAGCATGTTTTGCTGACTCACTCTGGCATGTGACTTACTGTAAGGAAGGTGGGGCCATGGGCGCATGTATGGAGTTGTCCAGGGATGGAAAATTAAGAGGCAACTGATGAGGCTACCTGCAGGCCAGCAGCTATTCCCAGGGGAAACACATCTTCAAATGAATCTGTTAAGCTTGAAGCTGAGATAAAATGTTCTTGGGTAGAACAGTTTAGCAATGCAAATGCAGAGAGGTTGATTTTTGGTTTTTTTGTTTGTTTGGTTTGGTTTGGGTTTTAAAAAAGAAAAAAAAAAACAAACTTCAAGGCATTGAGGATTACCTGGGAATCCTCTGCATAGTCCACAGCATGTGGCTATCTCTAGGATAAAGAGACCTGCATTGTGGCTGAGTAGGATGCCCTAATAATGCCCAAATCTAAGGGCTTGTACTGCTATTTTACTGAATTTCCTATTTCCATAAAAACATAAATCTTAAGTATTCACAAGCCAAAAAATTAATAAGAAGCCCAATTATGTTGATTGCTTTTAGTGTTAATATTTTAAAAATTGTCATTTCTACAGAAAAAAAGCTTTTTGGTTTTGAAGGGTGAGGATTAAAAATAAATGATAGTAAGTAAAGATTTTTTTTTTTTTTTTAATCCATTCCTTGCAAGTATTCAATTAATTATCCTTAAAGTATTGCACCGAGTGAGCGGGATGAAATCAAAGGAAAACTGTGAGGTACACGTATTAGCAAGTTCAGTACTAAATGAGTTAAAGTTTGTACATAAGAAAGGGGACTTCAGTAATGATTTTTGGCCTTCTCCAATGCTGGTAAAATCAATTCAAATATTCTGTTGATTTATTTTGCATCAAGCACATCATACATTATGAACTAGTTTTTGACTGAAATACCATTAGTCAGGTGGTCTGTAAACCTCTTCTCTTCTGCAAAAGTAACTTTTCTTCTCTTCAAATTTTTAGATTTTGCCTCTTTTTTTTCCTCCCGTGGCTTTAGAGCTTGTTATGCAGAAACAATTTTCAAATGAGATATATAGAATATTTTCAGCATTTTGGAAAATGAAATAATTTTTTTCAGTTATTTCTAGTACCTTGGTTACTTAACGTGCCAGTTAATAATCCAGGTTCTGTTTCTCACCTGGGACTAAGGAACAGCCTTGTGCTCTTTGTTCCCTGTTAAGGATTGTTCTCAACATCCTTTGGTCCTGAAACTTCTCAAATGGCTGTCAAAGTTGGATCAAGGCCTTCCAGAAGTCAGTAATTGTGTCCATAATAGGAAATCTCAGTTCCTCTCAGCTCTGCTTTGTTTGCACTCCACCTAATGCTCTAGTGCTAGCATCCTTTTAGGAGTTTGTTAAAACTTGAAATATCCATAGTCCTAGTTTAAAATGCCATTTAAATCATTTTCACGTTAAGATGGTGAACCACTGAAATTTTGATACCAGACATCCCTTTGTTGGCTCTTAGGCAATAATATAAGCTGTCATGTTTTGCTTTCTTGATGTGTACTGTAGTAGTGGTGATGGCTTGTGACTGTGAGTAATAATGCAATGTCTTAAGTGTAGTGCATTGCCTCCATGCATGTGTTGGGGACCACAGTTTTGAAACGTGTAGCAGGCTGGGATAATGCCTACATATCCCTCCAAGGCTGAAGGCATGAGAAAGATTGTCAGATGTAATTATCTAGTGCAGTGTGCCAAGACTAGTTATTTAAGTATTTATTCACTCTCAGACAGGTTTCACAGCCTCTGAATGATCCCATGCTGCTAGCAGGCAGCTGCAAAGCTAGTTAAGGTGTGTCTACTTAAGCTGCAGTAGCATTTTTGACAGACCAGAAATGCCCATCGCCTTGATGGATGTGTGTCCTTATATTATGTCAGCTTGTTCCATCATGGAGACTCTTTCTATTTTCTTGTAATTGAGAGAGCGTCATGGTGTTGAACAGCACCCAAAGCCATAGCAACATAGGATAGTACTTTGTGTTAGCTGTTGTGTATGGTAATATTTTTTTCATTGATTTCTTCTCATTTGCCCTTTTGTTTTAGAATACTTCCATTGCATATTATCATTTAGATAGCTAATGTTGCGTGTCAGAGTTGCTGGGATTACATGGGAGCTGGCACAGTG